CCTTGCCCAAGACCCTTCAATGGCTTTTCCCTTACAGTGGCATTCTCAAGCTCAGCAAACATCAGGAGCACGTGGAGGACTTGTTAAAACACATATTTCTTGGCCCCACCCAAGAGCTTCTGACCCAGGAGGTATAGAGTGGGGCCTAAGAATTGCCTTTCTAACAAGTTACCATGTAATTGCTGATACTTCTGGTCCAGGGGCAGCATTTTGGGGAGAGCTTGTCTACAGAAGGAAAACCATCAAATTCTCATCACCACATCACGCTCCTATGTGCCTTCACCTGCATTCAATCACACCCTACTACTCAATTCCCTAAAACCAAGGCTGTTGTAATTGGTTGTGCAAGTTTTGCACCACACAAGCAGTGGAGGCTTCATTCACATCGTAGCCTCTTGGTTGGTACCCTCTGGAGCTGACCAGTGGACAGCCTACAGCCTAACGTGCAGCAGCCCTGAAATCCCCACAAGACCCTCTATGCCATACCTCTGTAGGAACACCCCCAGCCACACAAGAGTACTTTGAATTTTCTGGGTAAATTATGATCTTTTGGGCCTCAAAGCCTTTTGCACTTTCTCCTCTCAGTCTGTAGTGCCCTTTATCCCCTTTTCTGCATGGAAACTTCTATCTATACTTAAGGCCTCCCTTCACAAAAAAGATTTATGATTAAAATCATTCTTAGATCAAAGAAAACATTTTTTCCAACAGGAAAAGGAAGAACGTTATAGAATCTGGTTAGAGTCATACATATTCTAGTATAAGTACTCAAAACACTGTAAATGTTTAAGAGTCTGGTTTTTCCCTCTCAGGTTTTCATTATCAATTATCATATCAATTATCATTATCAATTTCAATTATCTTTTCAATAAAACTAGAAAACTGTAAGGAGAAAAGTGAGAAGAGGCTTCTTTTCACTTTCTTATTTCGTTCTAGTTTTCCACTTATCTAAGATATTGGATTCATATGCACATGGTAGTTTAGCAAATTACCTTTGCAAACATATATTTATCAAATGGAATATACAGTGTTCTTAAATTTACACTTTTGTGAAAACTGTTTTTACTGTTCTGTGGAGCTTTACTTTTGACTACACAGAACAGCAATTTATACACACACACACACACACACACACACACAGAGTCATGTGCCACATAACTTTTTTTTTATAATCCCTTAGGGTTTTTAATAAACATAGATTGTTATGTAATCATAGTTTGGAAATACAAAAAAAACGCATTAAGAAATAACACATTTATTACTAAACTCTTGAATTAGAATAATTATTATTTTGCTTTCCTGTACTGATATATGTTTAGATGATGAGAGTAATTATTCTTATTGACTTTGAAATCCTGAGAGATGAGCTGTGAAATAGAAGAGCATTCAGTTTAATCCCGTTTTTCTTTTTTTTTTTCTAATTTTTTAAAAATATACATGTGTTTATTAGGTCTCCATTTTTTGCCTTCACAAAATTAAAAAGGCTTAAAATTTAATAACAATAACAATGTTTAAGATAAGAACTACAAACGAAATCCTCGTAAAGAATGAACAAACATAAATACGCTCAGAAAAGGCTTGGTACCTGTGGCTCAAGCGGCTAAGGTGCCAGCCACATACACCTCAGCTGGCAGGTTCGAATCCAGCCCGGGCCTGCCAAACAACAATGACAGCTGCAACCAAAAAATAGCTGGGCATTGCGGCGGGCGCCTGTAGTCCCAGCTACTTAGGAGGCAGAGGCAGGAGACTCTCTCAGGCCGAGGAGTTGGAGGTTGCTGTAAGCTATGATGCCACAGCACTCTACCCAGGGTGACAGCTTGAGGCTCTGTCTCAAAAACAAACAAACAAACAAATACACTCAGAAAAGAAATCAGATGATTGTTGCATCAAAATATTAAGCAATAATAACAATAATAATGCAAACAAAGTAACATTCACATTGTCAAATAAGAGTATGTCTATTATAGAATGCTTTGACTCTGAGATTCAGAATGGAGTCATCAGTTAACTTCTTCTTATTTTTTTTTAAGTCTCAAAAAATAAACAACTAATATTTATAAATAAAAGTGAAAGATAATTTCAAAAAACAGATCATGCCAAATCTCTTAGACAGTAGAAAAAGAAGAAATACTTCAAAATCATTCTACTTGATCTGGATACACCTGATACTAAAATCAGACAAAATGTATTATTATAAACGGGAAATTACAAACATATTTCACTTATAAATGAGGATGCAATATCCTAAATAGCATATTAACAAGTTGAATTAAAAATTTATATTTAAGTAATGCACTTTGGTCAAAATTAAATCCAATTTATGTGAGAATTAGTCATTATTTTCTTTTCTATTCTTTTTTTTCTTCTTTTCCTTTCCCTCACCCTCTCCCTCCTTCTCTGTCTGCTCTCCCCATCCCCCATGCCCCACCATGTCATTAATTGTCATTAATTGTCCTCATATCAATATTAAATACATAGGTTTCATACTTCTCCATTCCTATGATGCTTCACTAAGAATAATGTGTTCCACCTCCATCCAGGTTAGTACAAATGCTACAAAATCCCCATTTTTAAAAAATCTTTTACTTTAATAAATAAAGCATATTCATGGCTTAGGTTTCAAATCACATTTACAGATGAGGAAAACTTCTAGGCCTCAATAGCTAACAGTGAAGCTCCTTCTGCTGGGAGGAACACATGTGCCACATGCATTTGAAACCTAAAGAGCAGAGACCTCAAGGCCAAGAACACCATAAACATCACCCTCTAGACTAGTTAACGGGGAGGTGGAGAAAGAACAGGAGACTCGGTGAAGTTCATGCAGCCACGACCTAACAATGTAGGACCAGACTAGCGCTGTTACTTTGAGATGAACTAGGGGTGGGTTCCTGATCAGAGCAAATGAAACATTCTCCCACTGTTAACGATTAGGCCAAGGGCATTAGACACAGAAGGGTTTCCACTGATAACTACAGAGCAATATTAGGGCAGCAAACAGGAAGCAACACAGACACTCTAGTTCCTTGAAATATCAGACGCTTCCATATCATAGCAGTAGCGCAGTGGATGGACTCCCACTCCCAAAGGCCTAGTCCAAAAACTTCCTGTTGGCATTTGCACCAAACAAGGCTCCCCATACTTCTGGCATCATCTGCTGGGCTATGAGGTCCAGCCGGCTTTCTAGAGTATTAGAAACCTTTATTTTATGATCCCCATTATAGATTTCAACACCACCAGCTATTTCCTCAGGTAGGTAGGACTCCTGATCAATTTGGACATGAACATCGTTTTTAGTGGCAATTTTGTACATAGGGATTGCCTTTTGCACTGCAGCCTTTACCAGGGGTAAATCTTGTTTCCTTCAAGAACAGTCATTCGGGGCTCTAGCAATTGGTAAAAACCCTGGAGGACCAGTCCATCCAGCAGCACTTGGTACCTAGTTGTATCCTTTACCACCTTGCTGAGTCTCTGTTTTGCTTCATTTAGTAGGTCTGTGATAAGGTCATCTCTTGCTCTTAGCACTTTGCGCCTTGCTTGATTCATCAAATTGGACATCTGAATTTTCTTCTGCTGCTCAGTCTGCTTCTCTTTCTTCTCATAATATTCCATAATCTTCAGTCTTTGGGTTTGCACAAGCCGACCTTTCTCAATGTTGAACTCTTCTTCTGCCTTTGTATCTATTTCTTCTGCTTCTTCATTGGCTTCTTGTTCAATGAAAGCCATCATATGCTTAATCTGCTTTTGCACGTCGGCACCGCTGAGGGCCATGGCGAAAGCAGTGGTGGGCAGGTAGGCAACAGGCTAGAGTTAAGGACGAGAAGAGAGGTGGAAGGAAAGGGAAGAGGAAACCCTGGTGCAGGAATTGGCTTCCTTCACTTTATCAAAATCCCCATTTTTAATGGCTGAATAATATTCCATGGTATACATATACCACAGCTCACCAATCCATTCCTGGGTTGAAGGACATTTAGGTTGTTTCCACGTTTTAGCGATTGTAAATTGGGCTGTCTTTATAATAAAAGGGTTTTTTTTTTTTTCCTTCTGGATAGATGCCCAGTAATGGGATTACAGGATCAAATAAGAGGTCTAGGTTGAGTTCTTTGAGGTTTCTCCGTACTTCCTTCCAAAAAGTTGTATTAGTTTGCAGTCCCACCAGCAGTGGAAAAGTGTTCCCTTCTCTCTACATCCACGCCAGCATCTGCAGTTTTGAGATTTTGTGATATAAGCCATTCTTGCTGGGGTTTGGTGATATCTCAGGGTGGTTTTAATTTGCATTTCTCTAATAATTAGGGATGATGAGCATTTTTTCATATGTTTGCTAGCCATGCATCTGTTGTCTTTAGAGAAGATTCTATTCATCTCTCTGCCCCATTGATGTATGGAATTGCTGGGTTTTTTCTTGTGGGTTAATTAAAGTTCTGTATAGATCCTGGTTATTAAGCTTTTATCTGCTGCGTAACATTTTGATCAATGACAGATCATGCATTATCTGGTCCCAAAAGATTATTGCCACCATATTTTTACTGTACCAGTTCTGTGTTTATGTTTAGGTACACAGATGATTACCACTGTGTTAGAATCACCTGAGTATTCAGCACAGTAACATATGATACAGGTTTGTCACCTAAGAGCAGCAGGCGATACCTTATAGCCTCAGTGTATGGTAGCCTATGCCATAGGTTCATGTGAGGGCACTCTGTGACTCTGTGATGACAAAATTGCCCACCAAAGTATTTCCCAGAATGTATCCCTTGATGAAGCAACACGTGACTATATAGTATTGTAACAGTATATATGTTATATATATAAATATATGATGTGTGTATGTGTGTGTGTCTGGATTTACATACGTGTGTGTGTGTGTGAATATACATCTGTGCATATGTAATTTTAATGGATAACCTGCATTATTAACTCTTCTCAGCGGTTTAACCTGTTATTGCACAAACCTGAATCTTCTCAGATCTATCACTTCCATTAGCTGGTTGAATTAACTAAAGACTCCAAATTACACTCAGAAAAAAAAAAATGCTATATGGAATGAATACAGCACTCTTCTTTAAGAAAATTTACCCTTCTGTGAAGATGAAGTCCAAAGCCAATATATCTTCAAAAACAGGAGCAGGAGGCAGGAGAAGCGGGTAACCTGCCCAACATCATGAAAAAAAGAAAGAAAGGATTAATAAAAAGTATAGCGCTTAAAACTAGGAAATGATTATGTTATTGAACTTGTAAAGCTGTTGTTTTATCTCTAAACAGGCTATTGATATGAGTATCTTTTGTTTATCTTATGACTATCTTTTGTTTTAAAAAAAAAACCTGTAGCTGGTTAAAGGTCTGAGGCTGACTTTGGGCTACAAAGAAGCAATAGAAAATGACGAAAGATCTGTCGGATTCTTCTTGGACAACTAAAAAACAATTGGTTTCTTCAAGATCCAGTCTCATTTTCTACAGTTCCGTGGAATTCTCCCTTCTTTTTTATTTTTTATGTATTGGTTATTCATTTATTCAAACTGGATTTGCAAACTGCCTGCTCTGTATTGGGTACTGTTACAAAATGCTGTAGAAAATCAGTAGTCATTATCTACTATAATTCTAAAATTTTCTTTGAAAAACAAAACTGTCTCATATGAAATTGTCAAAGGATTATTCAGAAAGGTTGTAAAGTTTTATGGGTGTGACAAAACCTGATTGAAACTCTGGCTAACTTCAGTAAAAAGGAGGGGAAGAAACAACTTAATGGAAAGAACGATAGGATGGCAACACGCTTGTTGCCCACCCACCCCACTGATGTGACTCCATCCTTGCAACTCCTCATCTCCAAGTTTCTCAGTCCAAACTCCTAGATTCCCAGCCATGAGGAAATCTGATTGGACCGTCTTGGAGCAGAGAATGAGCATGGATCAACGGACTGAGGAAACAGGGTTGATCAAATATAGGACACCTAGTTAAATGTGAATTTCAGATAAACAGTAACTACTTTTTTTGTATCAACGTATCCCATACAAAAAATTTGATTCAAATATAACTGGACATCTTGTATTTTTATTTTCTTAATCTGAAAACTCTACAAAGAGGCAGCTTTCTGAATACAGGCAAAGCTGCTAAGGAGACCTTGTGAGTCCAAGTAAATGTGAAAGCATCTCTTGCACCCCACCTTCGCTGAGTTCACTTCAGCTCAGCTAAGTGAAAGAGGAGGCATCTTAGGAGGTTGACAGCTTTTTGAAAAGCACAACTTAGGCTCTGCGCCTGTAGCTCAGTGGTTAGGGCACCAGCCACAATACACCGGGGCTGGGAGGTTCAAACCCAGCCCAGGCTTACCAAACAATTGACAATTACAACAAAAAAATAGCCAGGGATTGTAGCTGGCATCTGTAGTCCCAGCTACTTGGGAGGCTAAGGCAAAAGGATCACTTAAGCCCAAGAGGTTGCTGTGAGCTGTGACGACACGGCACTCTACCGAGGGTGACATAGTGAGACTCTTTCTTCAAAAAAAGAAAGAAAGAAAAAGAAAAGCACAAGTTAGGGAATTCTTGATTCATTTTCATCCAGTAATTGAGCACCTCCCATCTTACAGCTCCCCTCTGTATGTCATGCACATGGACACACTCTCTTTGTATGATATTCAAAGAGCCACCATCTAGGCTTTGGGGTCCCAGAAACAGCACAAAACTTCTCAAATCATTTATCAATTCCTCTTGAGATATATGATATATGATTTGAGAAGTTCTCAAATAAGTATAATAATTAACTCAAATAAGTATAATATAATAAGTATAATAATTATTGATATATGATTCGAGAAGTTCTCAAATAAGTATAATAATTAACAATTTTAAACACTTTACCAAGTGCAAAGCAAATACACTTTGTTTTCTTTGTCCTCAAAGCCATAGTAAGCAAAATAGGTATTTATTTTCCACATTTTCTATACAAGAATACCAAGTCCCAGAAAAGCTAAGTGTAGTGTCCAGAGTCACAGATCTAGCAAAGTTTCAAAACTCAGGCCTTTGCACTCAGTCCCACATCACTACCCCTCCACCCCACTGCCAGGCACTTGTGAGGCTCCCTGAAACTTTGTTTGTCTATAAAATGAGAAAGGGCATCTTTCTAATACTTCTTCCAGCTTGGGTGTTGTGATTTTTACAGTCTACGTATGCTAAGCTATACAGCCAAATGAAAACCTATTCAAGGGATGCACTCCCACTCATTCTCCTCGTGCATCCTTCCCCCCAACTCTCATTCACGCACTAGACAGAAGACTCTAAGCATTTATGTTGAATTTTTCTGGGTGGGCAGCCCCACAATCTGCAGAAGAGGATCGCCACAGCCCCTGCCCTTGAAGACTCAGGAGAGGAAGTGAGGTTTGTGCCCTGCCAGGCATAGCCATCCTTCATTTTCATTCTTGGTCTCCTAAAGAATTTCCCTGGGAAGAGATTGCCTCCTCACTGGAGTGGGAGTAACGCTGTCATTATCTCCACCTCACTGTTACTGCTTTCTTTGCAGAGTTACTCTGAACAATAAAGTTCCCTTCACCAGCCATCACCTAATAGCTCGCTTTCTAAAATCTAATCTTTTAAAATACAGAAATATATCATGGGTAGTGAAACAAAGCTTATTTCCGTAGATACCAAGAAAGTATCAAAACAGTAACTTCAGTCATAAGAAATCAAAAAATCTCCTCTCAAACAACAAGTTTTGCAGGTGAAAATACAAAACAGAAAGAATTGATCCGACAGCATATGGAACCAGACTGCCTCTCATGTCCCACCCCGCCCCAAATAAAAGCATCACGCAGACCCACAGCAGAGACCAACATGCGGGTGAACGATCCCCACCCCCACCCCACATTCAATAGCCCCACAAACTGGGCTAGAATTGAATTCCTTTCTGTTATCCACAGGGCCAAAATAGTTTTTAAAACAGCTAAATCTTCCAATGGTGCTCATTCTTTGAACATGGCCCTGTGGCGTTAGCACACACAGGATTTGTGCCCGCCTGTGCAAATCAGCTGAGAATACTTCACGGAATCTCCTTTGCTCTGGGAGGGCCAGAGGAACACTGAAGAGCAGAAAGAGCTAGTAGCCAACTAAGGGCCTTCAGCCTCAGCAGAGAGAGCCCTGTGTGTGGTTCAGGATATGAGAAGATGGAACCGAAAACAATCAGAAAAGTTTCTTCCTTCGGTGGAAATCAAAGGAGTTACTTTCTGGTTTGCTGTATCCAGTAGTATTCTGGGTTATAGCTAGAAATAGGAGACAGGTGGATACAAATTATGATATTCTTACCAACTTCTCACCTCTTCCCTCAACAAGTGCTTTGTCCTTTGGTCAAAAGGCCAATTATGTCCCCCCAATAGGGATTCTGAAAGGAGAAATTATTCATGAATCCCCAGATGCTTGTCGTGGGCCTTTGCCTCCTGTCAACTTAAACAAGTTAGTCCTTTCCTGAGAATTCTCAGCATCATGTTTTTCCACGTTGTTTTCCATGACTTATCAGGTTTGAAAAAAATGCACTCTACCTCACCAGGAGGCGAAGCAGGCCTGCTTTAGGTGATAGCTAAGAGCTTATCATTTGCTGTCTCTAGCACCACTCGGCATATATTTACGAAAGGAAGAAAGAGAGCTTGGGGAGAGGACAGAGAGAAAGTGGAAGGAACAGAAGTTTCCATGCATTTTTGTGGAGCGTTGAATGCCGGAACATACAGCAGGTCATCACACATGAGGCCCAGCCTAGAAAATTTTCTGCATATTTTAAGGCACAAGGCAGATCAAGTTTACCTGAAGGGCCCTCAATCTAACTCTTTAACAAACATTGGCAGACTAAGGAAAATAAGATATGGTTGTCTGGGTTTCTCCTGCAAACCACAGCTTAGGTG